AGCATCTTCTTTCCCGGAGGCTCCCACCGCGGCCTGGCCCCGCCCACCCACCTAAGGCCACACCCATGCCGGTCAAGGCCACGCCCCTCGGCGCCCCATTGGCCTGTCCTTAAAGCCTAGACCACGCCCCTATGTGTTGGCCACGCTCCTCCCGCGGCTGCCCGAGGGACCCAGCTCCCCCGGGCTACAGTGGGACCCCGGACTCAGGCAACACTTCCCCACCCCTCGCCAGTAAAGCACGTTTACTGAGCACTTGCTATGTGCCCGGTCCGGTGCTAAGTAAGCGCTCCACAAACATCACATTGAATTCCCAGAGCAATCTTTAGGTACTCTTATTATTCCCATTTTACAGGTGAGAATACTTAGCCTCAGCAACTGGACATCACTTGGTCGAGATAAGAAATCCCATGTCACATGTCTCCCACCCCAGCTGGGGCGTTCCTCCTCGAAACCTTTCATTTATTCCTTGAAGAATGAACACAGGGTTACTGCAAGGCCCCTGGGTATTAATTCAACGAATACCTGAGTTAAAGCGTGTAGCTCTGAGCCTAGCGCACCGCTGGTGTTCAATTCAATCAACATGTTAGGTGCCAGGCACTGTCCCTTACAACGCTGGGGGACAAAACAGTCGTCCCTTGTAAAGTGTTACTATTCATGTCATGGAGAAAAACAACTTTTCAGATGACAGAGTGGAGGCCCAGGAATGTGGAGTGTGGCTCGTCCAAGGGCACACGGATAGACAGAGGGGGAAACTGGGATTTGAATGAAGGACAAGTTTAATTTCAGAGCCTAAAAATCATTGAAAGTATGGGGTATTTCCTTGGAATTGATCATTGCTAATAGTCAATGTTCACTGATCCATTAATTTTCTTCTCCTTGGATTCCTGGTCTCCAAGGATTCTTTCCTTCCTTAGGTCAGCCAGAGGCAAGATTAGGCTCAGAAGAGGCCTGGGTGAGGGTGATTGTGGCAGCCGGGGGGGGGGGGGGGGGGGGGCTCCTCCCTCTGCTCCATCCCACTGCTGCCCCTCCCTTGCCATGCTCTCAGGTCCCCAGCATGGAGAGGGTAGCAGATGGCCTGAGGTGGATGGGGTGGCCACCCATCTGTCCCCTCCCCCTATTGTCCCCAGAGCCAAGGGGGATCGTAGGGGGTTGTGGTCCACTGCAGTCTGGATCCTCCCCTTCCATCTTCCTGGAGGAAGCTGAGGAGCTGGTTGCCATGGAGACGGAGAAGAGGCAGAGGGATGCAGGGAGATACTGGGGTCAGGCGGAGATCCGCACCTAGACCCTTTGAGTCACATATACTTACACCACACAGGTACCTATTTCAACATCCATGGGATTGCGTGTGAAGTCCCGCCGGTCCCAGTCGCACAGGCCCTCTTGCAGACACACAGGTACACACTCTCAACAGTTTCACGTAGGCACACTCTGATATATGAAGAAGACTCATGGGGGATAGGCGCACGGGTGCACACACACACACACACACACACACTCCTTAATAATGCATAATGCACATTTAGTCATGCAGACCCAAAGCCATACCACAGGCACTCACACACAAATAGACACATGCACAGCTGATATCTGAGTATTTCCCAGGTACACACATTCAGAGCCAAAACTACTCCACACCTGGCCACACACGCCCTGAGAAGTTAGGAGTACATGATTGCAGCCACAGAACAAGCACAACCCATGTTACATAAGGCATACATGTTAGTGACATGTGAAATACACTGACACACAGACTCAAGTGTGTCTTCCACGCAAAGTGGGTAATCACACACCTTTAGATACATGTCCCACATAGTCTCATGCACACAATACAGGGGACCTCACAGATCGCTCAGCAACATACACAACACACATGGAGTCCCGTGTGCAGCTCAGCCCCCACCCCCTAGTCATGCCTGCAGCCCCAGCTCTACAGTCCCCCCAAGCCCTCCCAGTTGGACACACACAACAGCATGGTCGGTCACGCACTCACACTCACACACAAACACAAACCTCCTCCTAGATATTTTTAAACCCAGGCTAGTTCTGCTGCTATGGTAACCGCCCCAAACCCATTGCCATAGCAACCCAACGTCAGCTTTCCAAGCACCAAATCCTGGGGGATTGCAGGGCCCCAATCAGAGGCCAGTGGAGGGGGTTGCTGCACCCTCTGCCATCATCCGTGCCACCCCACTACCCTCAGCCTAGAGTCTTCAGGGAAGCAGCCACTGGAGGCTGGGCAGGGGCCGGAGCCAGGAATACAAGACCATCAGACTGAGCTGGGACAGGGGCAACCCTCAACTTGCTTTTTCCTCCGGCTGATCAGAGCTTTCTGGAGGGGACCATGGGACCAAAGTCAGCCTGCATCTGGACACACAGCCTGGGTTCAAAACCTGGGCCTGCCATTTACATGCGGTGTGACTTGGGCATATCCTTAACTCTCTCTGAGTCTTACGTTCCTTCATTTTGAAAATCTTGCTGCTGTTGCTGGCGAAACTAACATCCCAAAGGACTATTGTGACTCGGTGGTGAAAAGCCAGGCAGACCTGCATCCCAATTCTGACCCTCCCGCTTTCTAGCTGTATTAACTCAAGAAAGGGCCTCCCTTGTCCTAACTGGTTTGGTTCAGTGGATAGAGCGCCGGCCTTCCGACTGAAGGGTCCCGGGTTCAGTTCTGGTCAAGGGCACGTGCCTCGGTTGCAGGTTCAATTACTGATTGGGGCGTGCAGGAGGCAGCCAAATAATAATAATAATAATAATAATAATAATAATAATAATAAATAAGGAAAAGAAAAAAAAGAAAAGAAAGGGCCTCCTTGACAAAGTTCAGGGGCAAATAGTAGTCCAATTACACGGGGGTGCGGGTAAGATTTCCAACAAAGGGGTGTGGTTGCTGACCTAATAATTTTGCACGTATTCCAACATATTTAAGTCTTAAGCATGGCCTTGGGGGCAGATACTATTATTATTCCTGTTTTGCAGAAAAGGAAACGGAGGCTCGGGGAGCTTGCCTGGGATCACACAGCTACAAAGTTTGAAGCATGGGATTTGAACCGAGGGGGTGAAAGGCACATGTTTAGCCACTGCTCTCTCCTGCTTCTCCAAGAGGGGAGTTGGGAGAGGGGGATAGAATGGTTGATTCTTGGAAATGCTTTCTAGCCTCAGTTTGCTAGCCTGCAAAATGGGAGTGAAAACGATCCTGCTGGCTGCACTGTTGGAGGATCTATGAGGCAGCTTGCACCCAGGGGCTCTGAGGACAGGCTGGCACACCGGAGTGCTTTGTGTAGGTGGGGAGCAAATTGGGAGGGGTAGGGCAAGCGGGCAACTGGGTAGGCGCAGGAGAGAGGGAGGTGGCTGGGGCTCAAGCCCTGCTTTTCTCTTTCCCAGCCCGGTGACCTCAGGCATGAGCTTTCTCTAGTCTGAGCCTCAGTCTTCCTATCTGTCAAGTGGGTGGTGAGAAATCCAGGAGCCAAAGGAGGTAAGACCATTTAGCATGGGTCCCAGTGAAGAGCTGATACTAGCATCATCTATCCAGTCTGTACATGGGATCTAGGAGAGGTAGGACGGTTCCATGCAGGGTTCTGCAAACTTTTTTGACCCACAGTAAGAAATACACTTAGTCAGTCCACTGGTGTGGCTCAGTGGTTGAGCGTAGACCCATGAACCATGCGGTCACTGTTTGATTCTCATCAGGGCACATGCCCGGATTGTGGAGCTCAATCCCCTGTAGGGGGAGTGCAGGAGGTAGCTGATGGATGATTCTCTCTCATCATTGATGTTTCTATCTCTCCCTCTCCCTTGCTCTCTCTGAAATCAATAAAAACATATAAGAAACATAAAAACACTTAAGAAAAAATAGAATGGACAGGGAAGACCTCACTGAGGAGGTGACATTTGAGCAGAGACACGAAAGAGGTGAGGTCAGGTGGATCTCCGGGGAAAGAGCGGTCCAGGCAGAGGGAAGAGCAGGTGCAAAGGCCCTGAGGCAGGAGTGTACCTGGCAAGTTGGAGGAAGGAGGAGGAGCCTAGGGAAGTTGGAAAGTGGGAGGGATAAGGCTAAAGAGTTAGGTAGGGAGCCGACGGTGTCTGCTCTGAGGGCCACAGTCCAAGACTTAGCTTTGACTCGGAGTGAAATGGGACGGTGGGAGAGTTTTGAGGAAGGATGTGAGTTGATTTAGGTTTTATCACAAGATCCCTTTGGCTGCGTGCGAACAATACTGCCGGTGGAGGCGGGTTGGTGGGGTAGAAGTACAGAGATGATCTTGACCACGCAGGTGGGAGGTGCCGGTGGTTGGGCCCGGGTGACAGGTGGGAAGACATCATTGGAGTCCTGGTTCTCCCATGTGACTGTGGGCAAATCATTTCACCTCCCCTGGGCCTCAGTGTCCCCATTTACCAAACGGGGGTGATGATAGAACACCCACCTCTCAGAGCTCCTGTGTGGTGTCAGTGTGACAGAGCTGAGACAGCCCTTGGCACAGAATGTGTGCTCAACAAGTATCGCCTGTCATTGTCACCGTTACCCCCCAGGCTCCCAGACCAGGGAACTTCTGTGTCCTGTCCACGGGGGCAAGGAGGCCTTCGGGGAGGATGGGGAAGAGGGGACTGACTGCGTAATGAGTGTGTGTAGATCTGATCCCGGGCTATTTGAGTCAGAGGATCTTGGAGCAGAAGTCTTTGTGGTGCCAAGGTCTCGAGGGGTCCTTTGCTCCTCACAGCCTCTTTGTAGAATGGGGAGATGGGGGTCCAGAATGGTTTCATCGTGCCCAGGAGCCCACAGTGAGCTGGGGGCTGAGCCAGGGCTCGAATCCATCCCAGTCCTGGCTGCCTCCTTGGTGATTATGGCATCTGACCGCGTCCCCTCCCCGCTCCCCCCAGCCTTAATATCTTCCTATGACTTCCTACTGCCTCTGGGATCAATTCCAAACTCTCCCAGTTGTTCAGGCCAAAAACCTTGCATTTGCCCTTGACACCCCCTCTTTGCCTCACACCCACAGCCAATCCATCAGCAAACGCTCTCTGCTGCACCTTTAGATTCCAAATCTGACCCATGTCGCCGTCTCTATCAACACCACCAAGGCCCAGGCCCTCAGCAGCCGGCCCCCCGCCCCCTGCCGGACTCATTGGACCTTTCCTGCTCCCCCCACTCCCACCCATGCCCATCATTTCAACAGACAGAGTCCTTTTTTTTTTTTTTTTTTAACTACAGCATTAGTTTTGATTGAAATTTTATATTTCTTTCAAAATGTGGTATTGGGACAAACAAGTCAGCAACTTGAAAAAAGAATTTAGATCTTTACCTTAGACTGTAAGCAAAAAGATATAACTCACAATATATTTGAATATGTCATTATACCTAGAAAAACAGAGTTTTAGGAGAATTTTGGAGAAGGCCTACATTTTTAAGTTTAGAAGTACAATAAACATTTTAAAGTTAAAATTACTAGATTTAACAGGACAATATTTTTTATTTTTTTAAAATATATTTTTATTGATGTCAGAGAGGAAGGGAGAGGGAGAGGGAGAGAGAGAAACATCAATGATGAAAGAGAATCATTGATCGGCTGCCTCCTGCATGCCCCCGACTGGGGACCGAGCCTGCAACCCCGGCATGTGCCCTTGACCGGAATCGAACCCAGGACCCTTCAGTCCACAGGCTGACGCTCTATCCACTGAACCAAACCAGCTAAGGCAACAGTATAATTTTAAAAATATATATTTTTATTGATTTCAGAGAGGAAGGGAGAGGAGAGAGAGAGAGAAACATCAACGATGAGAGGGAATCATTGATCGGCTGCCTTCTGCACGCACCCCCTACTGGGGATTGAGCCTGCAACCTGGGCATGTGCCCTGATTAGAATCGAACCCGGGTCCCTTTAGTCCACAGGCCGACGCTCTATCCAACTGAGCCAAACCGGCTAGGGCAACAGTATAATTTTAAAACTCTTCATGCTAAAGGCAAAACCATCTGTATTATAAGGCAATCAATCGATCATATATGACAGTATTTCTATCACTTGTCAATCAACGGCCCTTGGTGCCAATTCATTGCCAACACAAATCCCCAATTTGGGGCGTGGTGCAGAAGGAAACTTGATTCAGCCCACAGCTCCACTGTGATACAGCAGGACGGTGAAAACAGCATGGCGGGGAGGCAGCCCGGGGCCAGGCCCCACTCTGCAGGCAGCTCGCTCCGCTCCGCTCTGCTCCAGACTGGCCTGCGGTGCTGGTCGGTGCTGGTCGGTGCTGGTCGGTGCTGGTCGGTGCTGGTCGGTGCTGGTCGGCCCCACCTTGCTCTGGGCCGCCCCACCCTGTGCCACTCTGCTCTGGCCTGCGCTGCTCGGTGCTGGCAGGACGTCTTCCGGGTTTCAGCTCAGCCAGGCGGTCTTCAGTCTTCCATGGGAAGGGACAGTGCACTCCCAGAGTCATTCTTTTAAAAAGCAAGTCAGAGCCGTAACCGGTTTGGCTCAGTGGCTAGAGCGTCGGCCTGCGGACTCAAGGGTCCCAGGTTCGATTCCGGTCAAGGGCATGTACCTTGGTTGCGGGCACATCCCCAGGAGGAGGTGTGCAGGAGGCAGCTGATCCATGTTTCTCTCTCATTGATGTTTCTAACTCTCTATCTCTCTCCCTTCCTCTCTGTGAAAAATCAATAAAATAAATTAAAAAAAAAAAAAGCAAGTCGGATCATACACGGCATGGTAGGCGAGAGAAAATAAAAAATGCAAAAAGGGGGGATTTCTGTAAGAACTTTGAGAAACAGTGTAGATTTCTGGCCTTAGGTTCGTGGAGGGAGAAGGAGCTTTCTGTGCATCTCTCCCACAGCGTGGGCACTTACAAATATTACGGACGGGGAAACTGAGGCACAGCTGGTTAAGTCACTTGTAGCGGACCTGGGGCTTGAACCCTGGCCACCTGGCTGCAGAAGCTACCTCCTGAACCATTCTACCTCCCTGCCTCTTTCTCACATGTCTCTCTCTGTTCAGCCAACTTTCTCCAGGTGTGCACCGCGCCCCCCCACCCCCACCCCCACTTAGCTGCTCCTCTAGCTCATCACAGTGCATAGGATGAAGCTGATTCTATGCAATCATTTCTGCTCGAATTTAATTTTAGTAATTTCTCCCCTTCATCTTCGCCCCCTCCCATAGGTACCCCCTCTAGGGTGCTGAACTTTTGGCCCCCCATCCCTCTTCTATTCTTTCATTAAAATCCATGTATATAGCCTTCAAGGTCATTTTGTCTTATGTATGTCTTAAATCTGCAAACACGCCTTTGAGCCACAAACCTCCCTTTCTCTCATTGTGCTTCCTGAGACCTCTCTGCGTGGTGCTGCTTATTTCTAGCTCATGATGAGTGAGTCTGAAGAGGGCTCCGGAGAGGCTGCCTGGGCTGAAGTCTCAGCCTGGCTGCTCACAAGCTGGATGGCCTGGGGCAGGTGTCTTAACCTCTCTGGGCTCCAGTTTCTCCATTTGTAAAACAGAGGGCGTTGTCCTGGCTGGTGTGGCTCGGTTTGTTGGGTGTCGTCCTGTGCACCGAGAGGTTGCGGGTTAGATTCCTGGTCAGGTCTTATGCACGGGTTGTGGACTCGATCCCTGGTAGGGGGCGTGCAGGAGGCAGCCAATCAATGTTTCCCTCAATGTTCCGATGTTTCTCTCTCTCTCTCTTCCTCTCCCTTTCTCTCTCTCTAAAAAAGAGGGTGTTGTCATATGTGGAATCTAAGTAACAAAATAAACTGATGAACAGAGTGGATCCAGAGACATGGAAGCATGGAACAGTGTGGAATCTGGGAGGGAAGT